GAGAGAGGGAGGGGGACGTGGGGGGAGGGGGGTGGGCTTTTAATATGTCTGATGAATTTTCCAACTTGAATAACTAGCTTTTTCAACTTTTTGGGTCTGTTGAAGAAAAATACACATATTTAATAACTTCATCAGACATAAAACGGAAAGATAATGTTGATCGCCTTACAACAGTGGGACTCGAATCCAACGAAAGAAGTTGGATTCCCCTCTTTTGCAATCCATAAAAAAAAAAATAGCTCGGATTCAACGAACACATACGAGAAGTGAGGAGCAAGCTGGGATTCAACGAAATCGCTTGTATGATGAACAGCCCACTCCGACGTGGCTTCTCGCATGTTTCTCCCACAACGAACCTTATATATTCCAGGAAACCATCAGTGGCACCTGTATTGTGAACCATTATTCGCTTAGCCTATTGTTTATATCTTATGCGACCAATCAGTGGCCTATCATTATCATACCAAAAAACACGTTGTTAGGAGGCACACATGTCTTTGCGTGTGTTGGGGTCGGGCGGGCGGCCAGCACACGTGTAACTGTGTGTGTATCATGTCTGGAGGGAGGGGGCACAAACGATCCTGGCGTGGAACTTAGGTAAAGATACAAACGTGTCACAGTTTTAATAGTTTTATTTATTCCCTGATACTGATACTGATCAACGTTACAATGATAAGCTAGTCTTGACATAGATGTAGGCCTACGTAATGAATTTTGCGCGCTGGACTGTAGAACCAAAAAAATGCCGTATGCAAGGCTCTACAGAGCAACATAACTTGTTCGGCAAACAGTACGTTCTAGAATCAGATGATACTTGATAGATGACGCAGGTGTGCATTTGAACGAAGTGGCCCTTTTGCAAAGAGTGTGTAGGGTAGAGTTCAGTGTGTTTTCCTGGAATTGTCCAGCATCTTCAGTATTTAAAAAAACGGAAATGTCTCTCATTTGAATCCAAACTACTTTTGAGTGAAAAAGTCGAATACATATTATTATGATTTTGAACGAAGTGGCCCTTTTGCAAAGAGTGTGTAGGGTAGAGTTCAGTGTGTTTTCCTGGAATTGTCCAGCATCTTCAGTATTAAAAAAAACGGAAATGTCTCTCATTTGAATCCAAACTACTTTTGAGTGAAAAAGTCGAATACATATTATTATGATTATACAATGCTTGCTTGGTGCCTGTAATTATCTCCACAAAAACTTCATGCCTGCCATAACGAACACTCAGATTCAACGAAATTGAAGGTCAGGCCCAACGACTTCGTTGAATCCGAGTTCCACTGCACTAGACTCATGAATAAATGTTTCAAATTCAAAGCTGAAGTATTTGGCTCTAGTCAGGACATAAGGCTAAGGACTAAGGAAAAGAAATTTATAAAAGATGAGACAGTGAGACCCTTAAACTTACAATATAATACGAATCAAAACCAATGAGTGTTAGCTGAGATCATTGAACAAAAACACCACACGGATGGCACATAAAATAGAGTCTAGAAAGCACAAAACGAAATTGGCAAGAAGCAGTTATCTTTTCCGTTTTAGCATAATTTGCTGTGTAGGCCTACATGTTTTGAATACAATGAAAATACACGTATAAAAATAAATTGACACCTGAAAATCTGTTCCCTATTTGTGTGTTTGCTATGTGCATGCTAAACTGTACTGTAACTGTAAGTTGTATGTACTTGTGTCTACCGCTTTTTTTAAATTAAGTGCAGTTTTATACCATTTCAAAACCTCCCTGTCTCTCTCTGTCATTCAGCTCTCAAATCTTTCTGCCTGAGCAACAAGCACATCTGTTCCTAATTTTTGTGCATTCACTAAGTACCTTATTTGTGTGTCCGCTATATGCATGCTAAATTTTAAGTTGTACTTGTATATCTACCTCCTGTTTAAAAAGTGCAGTTCTGTACAGTGTACTACATATTCATGTGTTTTAAAACCTCTCTGTCTCTCTCTTCCACGAAGCTCTCAAATCTCTCTGGATGAGCAACAAGCACCCGGAGCAGACCGGAAGTGCCTCGTGTCCGTACAGCGCCACAAGCCAATCCCTGCCAGTGGTAGGCAGACGGTAGAGAGAGACATGGGAGTCCAGCATCAAAACTGTACTCACAATATGTCTTGTTCAAGTTCAAGGGGTGCCGAGCACTGAAGCTACACATTGGAGATATCCAAACTTTTCTGCTAGTTTTGAAACAAGAATATAGTTTTGACTTTTTGGAAAAGTTTAGGCGTAAAACCAGGAAATGAAATCCAATGACACATCAATGTAATGGGGTCAATTTAGAAACTAGTTCTTTTATTTCTTGTTGAATTTGAAATAAATAGTGATACATGAACAACGTGTACCAACATTCTGTGTCTCTCACTATTAAAGAACGGATAAACATGTGTGTCTGTGTGTGCGTGTGTGTATGTGTGCACACATACATGTATATGGGGGGAAAACATTCCCAAAGTTGGAGTTCATGAGTTGAGGAATATGCAAAACACTAGGCCTTCTGTGAATAAGCAGTTTTTTTGACAAGGAGCTCTCTCTCTCTTCTGGCGCTGTGGCTTCATAAACGGTCAGCGATGCCGACAGCACGCAGGAACTCAACACTCGCCCGGGGGTCCTTAAAAGGTGCTGAAAATGGGTTACTGAAATGTCCCAGCAGACGGGTTCTAGCACGATAGCTGGCGGGACACCTCAGGAACACATGGTCCATAGTATCGTCCTCCTCCTTGCAGGCTCCACAGGACGGATCTGGGTTGT